TGGTTGTCACGTGGTCTCCGCGGTGAGCATTTGCCAATCCATCAGGCGGAACGACATCAAGGAGATGGGCATATGTTTTCTTCATGCCCTCCCACCCTGTGATCAGCCCAAGACAGACACATTGGACCCACGCATCATTGAGCTTTTGGACAGCTATGAGGATATCTTCCAAGCTCCCGCCGGAGTCGTACGGGATCGGCCCATAAGCCAGGGGATCACTCTCGAGGATGGCGCCGTACCTCCGCGCGGATGTATCTACCGCATGAGCGAACACGAGCTTCAAGTGCTTCGGGCACAACTAGACGACCTTTTGGCCAGCAAGAGCTGGAATACTTAGGTCATTACGTTACGCCGCAAGGCATTCGTCCGCGCGCGGACAAAACACAAGCCATTCAAGATTGGTCGGACCTCAAGTGTACTACCGACGTCCGCTCCTTTCTTGGTTTAGCATCAGATTACATGCGCTTCATCAAAGGTTTTCAACGGATCGCTGCACCATTGTCGCGACTTCAGTCCCCCTTGGTGCCCTTCGAATTCAATGACGAAGCCCAGCACACGTTCCATACGTTGAAGACGGCCTTGCTCCAAACTCCCGTCTTAAGCATCTATGACCGAACCTTGCCTACCAAAGTGACTACGGACGCTTCCGGCTACAGCATTGGCGTGATTTTGGAACAGCATGACGGCATAAACTAGCATCCGGTTGAGTACTTCAGCCAAAAGGTGCCGCCCATCAATACACTTGATGATGCGAGGAAGAAGGAACTGCTAACTTTTGTCACCGTACTTAAGCGTTGGCGTCACTTTCTCCTCGGGCATCGACGATTCACATGGGCAATGGACAACAATCTGTTGACTTATTACAAGATGCAAGACACGGTGAGCAGCACGATCGGTCAGTGGATGTACTTCATTGACCAATTCGACTTCACCTCCAAGCACATACCGATACTTCATTGACCAGTTCGACTTCACCTCCAAGCACATACCAGTTCGACTTCACCTCCAAGCACATACCGGGTTCCTCGAACAAGGCAGCAGATGCTCTTTTGCGAAGACCTGATCTTTGAGCCTTGGTGCACTCCACATTCGGCCTCAACGAGGACCTGCAACAGCATTTCGTAAGCGGCTACAAGTTGGATCCGAGATTCTCCACACTCTATGCGAACTTATCATCAGATCAACCGCTGACAAGCAATTATCGCATTGTCGACGGCTACTTGCTTCTCCATACATGAGGCAAGGATTTCTTGTGTGTTCCCCAAGACCGCATCTTGCGCACTCGCCTCCTTGGCGAATACCACGATTCCCGGCTGGCGGGACACCTTGGCGTCGCACGCACACTAGCACGACTCCGCCAGCGATTTCACTGGCCATACATCATCAGGAACGTCAACCGATACATTCAGTCATGCACAGTTTGCCACCGGAACGAAGGGCGCCATCAGCTCCCGGACGGCGAACTGAAACCATTGTCGATTCCTCGAGAACCAGGTCTTTCCATTCCTATGGATGTGACCGGCCCTTTCCCTCGCGATCGCCTAGGCCACGATGGTATTCTTACAGTCGTTGACCGTTTGAGCAAGTACGCTCGAATTCTTCCATGCAAGTATCATGCGACGGCTCCCGAGCTCGCACGACTTTTGCATACCGGCTGATTTTGTAGCCATGGCATTTCGGAAGACATCCTCAACGACCGCGACACTCGTTTCATGTCAGCCTTTTGGACGACACTCATGGTGGAATCGGCACCAGCATGAAACTGAGTTCCGCACAGCATCCTCAAACGGATGGGCAAACGGAATGTGCGCACCAGACTGCGCAAATGATGCTCCACAGACTCATCCACCCGGATCAGAAGGACGGGGTTGACCGCCTTCCCGACGTCGAGTTCGCCTACAACACTTCGGTGCACCCGGCGATCCGCGTGACTCCCTTTGAGTTGCATCACGGTGGACGAAAAAACCGTATCTTCGTAGACATTTCGTTTCCACGGGCTGCCGATATCGACGCCGCTTGCTCCCCCGCTTCTACACGGAAGTACAGGGAACTGCTGGCCAAAGCCCGCGCATAGATGCAAAAGGCTCAGGTCCGTATGCAGCAGCAAGCGAACCGGCGAATCATCCCATGTCCAATCCACGCTGGCGACCTGGTTTGGGTCACCTCCGAGGAATTCGCGCTCGAGCAGCATGTCTCGTGCAAGCTCCTCCCTAAGTGGTTTGGGCCATGGAAGGTCACTTCAGCAGCTGGCGACGACCCCGCGGGTCCATCTTTCATAATCGAGATTCCCCCACATTTGACGGTCCACCTGATATTTCACGCTTCAAAGTTGGCGGTCTACACTCCAGCCTCCTCAGCGGACTTCCCGGGCAGACGGTCACACGACCAGGAGGTCGACCGCATTCTCACTCATCACAAGCATGGCAACAAGCCAATGCAGTACAAAGTTACATTCAAGCAATGTGATCTTGACGACACACGCTGGATTTCACGAGCTGACCTGAAGGTGACAGCACCCCTCATCTTTGCGCATTACGAAAACAGCGACTTGTTAAGGAAGCTGCCCAACCTGCCCGCCCCGTATGGACATCGGACACACAGCTTCGCCCTCGCAGTTAGCTCGGTCTTCAAGGGGGGGAGCGTGTGGCATACTGATACCACACGGGCCCCCAGTTAGGGCCCGGTTCTGTAGCAGGCACAGTTCAGGCCTAGTTACCGGGTCACAACGGGCCCAGTTTAGGTCCAAGTAGGTCTAGGACCCATCAGTTCAGTTTAGGGTCCGGTAGGCCTCGTTTAGACCCCACCAGACCCAACGGCTAGTTCATTTAGGCCAGGTACCGGCTCATTGGTAGGCCCAGCTGGCGGCGCAGTTGGCACCCATTTTCAGATTCCGATCTGAACCCTTGGGCCTGATCAATGGTCCAGGCCCGAAGGACCTCAGTAGGACTGAGGCCGACCCAGCACTATATCAGCTGGGTACCAGCCTCAGTCGGTAGGTTAGTAGACAGGAGGCTAGTCTTCAGGATTAGAGCAGCATTTCAGCGATAGCAGGGTTGGCGCAGCGCTGCAGCATTATGAGCAGCAGCGAGGAGAGAAGGCGCTCCGCGGCAGAGAGGAAGTAGTGCAGCATTGGGAGCAGCGCCAGCCACCGGCCCAGCCCGCGGTCCAGCACCAGCTCTTTCAGCACCATAGCTACCGTGACAGGTACCAGGGAGAAAGGCTTTGCCTTCTCTCCCTCATCTTCCTCCACCTCTCTCTCCCTCTCTCTCTCTCCTCCTACCTTCTCCGTCTAAGCCTACTCTACTACAAGTATGAAGGATGGTTACCAATTCTGATGACATTGGAAACAGCGACATTTGGACTACAGACTGAGAACTACTCGTGGGATCTGATTTCATCTTCTTCTGGAGATGTACTTGACATTGTGAGATCAATATCTGAGACATTGTGAGACACCGTGTTCGCGACATTTCGGATTTTCACTACCTCTGACATTTCAAGATACTATCTTTGGAAACATTGAGTTGACGTCATCTTCCCTCTCCTCCTCCCTTCGTCTCTCTCCTCCCTCCATTCGTCCGTGGATGATCTCAGACCCTGGCCTTTCGTCTATGTCCAAGGCCAGGGCTTTCACACCCCTGATGTATGATTGAGAGTGTTCGGTTGCAGTCCGAGTCAGGTCAGAGTCAGTCCATGGGTTCCGCTGTATTTGTATTAACTCTGTATTATCTGGCCGGTTCTGGGAATCTGCGCCATACTTATGACTGTGTTTCACGAGTATGCAACATCGTCATTCCGAGATTGATACTCCATTGTTTGGCGTTTTTCTTTGTTCATTTCGGTGCTGGGAGCCACCCACATCCTCCACAGTTCAGAACTTCATACCGCTTCTCTTTTTTTTTCCATTTTGGGCGGGGGGGCGCTACCTTACCTTCATTGCTGTAGCCATCTGGTCCGACCAGAATTTCACCTCATGTTCTGATCATCAACAGTTGCATATGTTTACCATTCAGCCACATGGGTTGTTTGACAACGCTGCCCTAGCACCGCGTGTTGAAACCCCTTCTTGCTTTGTTTCCTTCTTGCTTTGTTTATCATTAAACGGCTTTCAACGCCCCCTTGCAGGTGGGATCATTTACTTCGTTGCAACAATTGATAACATCCGGTCATCAAACACCGACTACCCCACAGCATCAGTTAACACCAATGAATACCCTCCACATCATCCTTAGAGAGACGGGTAAAAGTGTAATAAGGGCAGAACAGAACTGCAACAGGGGACACCAACCGGACACAACAAATGAAAATGCCCATATGCTCACAAGGCTACTCTAATTGTCTAAGGATCCCCCTAGGTCAGGCCCAGATCTCCCAGGCCCGGGGCCCTCCCAGAGGCTCGTAGGGGAAATAACTGAGGGAGGGTGGTTTCAGGCAAGCCGGGTTTCTGACTACTGCACGCTTGGGCCCCCGGAACTACCAAGCCGGGTTTCTGACTACTGCACACTTGGGCCCCCGGAACTACCTAACCAGCACCCCCCTCTACGGATTGGGAAGATGTATACAGAGTGTCATAGTCTGAGGGACCGATTTCTGGACTTGGAAGACGTAAACAGAGTGTCATGGTAATAGCGTTCTGTTGGTTGGACTGGGAATATGTAAACAGAGTATCATGATGATAGCAATCTGTAAGTCTTGCCTCCACTTGTTTGACATCCAGTAATCACATCAAAATCTTGGGCCAACTTCTATGACATCCTGTAATCCGATTAAAAGAAAAAACTCCAAGAAACGCACACGCCAAACACGGGGCAGGTCATTCATTCGTGGTGTAGGTAGGGAAGAGTAGGAGAGATTCAGAAAGTACTCACATCAGGTTGGAACGAAGCAACAGAGGCACACAGAGGACGAGGAGGTGGGGCGCAAGTGATTAAAAAGAGAGAATTATTAGATGACAAGGTTGCGAACCTGGTCCAAAATTTGCTGCTCTAATCTTTTACAAGTACAGTTTTGCACAGTTCGAGCTAGTTGCAGATCTCACATAGCCATCAAGTGCAGCAGACTTCCCCAGCGTAAGCGATCATCATCATTATTATCATCACGGACAAGCACTTACATTCAGTGGCCTTCAGTTCTGCCACAATGTCTGCCATCTTCGCCTGAGAAGAACACCAGATCATTATGGTTGTATGTGAGGCAACTATGGTGAAGACAGAAGTTTTGCCTCCTGCCAGAAGTACGGGGGACTGGGCAGTGGCCGGTCAGGTAGGGCAGTCCAAAAGTGTCATATGGCTTCGTTCAGCAAGGCTGGGCAGTTGGCCGCTCAGGTAGCGCAGCCCAAAGTGTCATAAGCCATCCATTTCCTCCCACTCTGCTTTATACCTCATCTATACGAAGGTAGCTGCAACAAACAAGCCAAACAAACTGCACATGTGCACAAGCTTCAACTCTCTCTTCTGCTGCTTTTGTTCTGCTCAAAGAACACAAGCACTCACAAATGAAATGACAAAAACACGAGACGCGGGAGGAGAAGGAGAAAGTGAAACGTAGGCGAAAACCAAGGTAAAAGGGAGATGGGGGGGGAAATTTGAGCATGGATCAGGCGAAAGCCAGAAAAAACTATCTTTCAAACGAATTGGAAACAAAACGTGTATAGGAGGCATAAGAAACAGCAGGAACTCCGGAGAAGGAGACTTCTCAGAAAGATCCCGGAGCCTCTCCGCTGCTGTGGAACAAAACCTCTTCTTCCCCTCCGCCCTCAACCTTATTCTGCCCCACATACCGCAATCCTCTTCACCATCCATCGGGGGGAGAGAAAGAAAAACAGCCCTAATAACGCAATCCACCACAAACTGGAAGCCGACGAGGTCAATACAACCCTCTCTTCTTCTCTGCTACTACTCTCAAATTCTTCTGACTCAAGTTTAGCTTACCCAAACTGAAACCCCGCTCTGTTGCTGTTTGTCGCGAGAATGTACGGTAAACTTACCGGCATTAATCTACGAACTCAATCCGCACACGCTCCCCCTTCCCTCACCCCTTTTTTCTCTGTCCAACTCCGTTCTCTTCTCTTCCCCTCCCCTACCACGAGCCCCCCACCTCTGCGTTCGCCGTGAAAGACGAAGCGCTCCTATCACCCCCGTTCCAAGCTCAGAGCACCGCACTTCTTCCTCCTCTCCCTCCTAGCACTCAACTCTCTTTCCCGATCCCTTCCTTCCCCGTCCCCCCCCCCCCCCCCCCCCCCCCCCCCCCCCCCCYCTCTCTCTCTCTCTCTCTCTGTGTCTCTCTCCCCCCGCTACTTTGAAAACCAAACAAACGTGCGGGAGCGCACATGCACACACACGCACGCACGAACGCAGGCACGACCACACACGCAGGCACGCAAACACAAAGCCACTACAAGGGAAAATAGGTCAACTCGTGATCGAGCTTCTGCAGAGGCTGGATGACCCGTAGACGAGCTCGCTCCTGTTCTAGTTTTCGCTCCTTTACAGTGCACTCTTGGTTACGGATGACGACGCACGATTACAGTCGATTACAGTGACTTAATAACGACCACCTGCCCTTGCGTACCCGCCGCCATAATTCAAGCTCACCATACGTCCAGCTGCTTCGGTAGTGTTGGGAGATGGGGTGACACGGCTGCTCGCCGCGCTGCCACTTTGGAAGGCCGTTCGAGCGAAGGACCCATAGGCATCCTGATAGCGCTGCCGTTGTCCGTACGAGGCATTACCAGCACCACCCTGTCTGGGGTCACGATACCCGCCAGCGCCACCCATACCTCTTCCCGAACCTAATCTGGACCCACCGAAGCCGCCACCGCCGCGACCCCCCCCACCATACCCACCACCTCCAAGCCTTCCACTGCCGAAATCGCGCCGCCCACCCATGCCACCACCCCCAGCAGTCCCTGCATAGGACTCAAAGCGTTCCTGGTTACCCCGGCGGTCTTGACCTCTCCGTCCTCCGCCTCCTCCCTCCATGTCACCGAACGAGACCGTTCCACCGGTCCGCGCCTCCCAGGCCCTCTCGTTACTCTCGACAAACACCGTCAGCCTCTCGGCGAATTGCGTCGCTAGATGCTGAAGCCTCGTCGGCTCCACATTATGCATGACGACGCACCGCGTCGGCTGGTCCCAGCTGGCGTGAAGCTCCTCCCCGATCATCATTTTGCTCACGATACTGTGCACCACCGCCTCGCGCAACTGAAACATGGCTATCAGCTGATCGAGGCTGAGGGACTCATACTGAGAGCTGTACGCAAAGAGATAGGTCCTCAACCCTTCTTCTTGAATCTTCCCCTTCAGCATCTCCAACACGCCGTCCTTTGTCGTCACCAGTCTCCACACGTCCAGCGACTCTATCACCTCGTACGCCTTCTCCCAGTTCCCCTTGCTCAGCGCCCTTGTCGCCGCCATCAGGTGGTCCCGCACGTTTTCCGGCGGCCCCGTGAACGTCTGCCGTTCGTAGTTATCCAGCAACCGGCGGAAAGTCTTACTTATCAGCTTGCGCTTTAGGTCATGCGCATTTGCCGCCATATTCGGCACCTCCAGCAGCATCGCGCAAATCAGATGGACACTTTCCAGCAAGTCTAAGTTGATGTGCATATGGAATGGCATCTGCCTTCTCCTCTCAAGCTTCTCTTGTTCCGGATTCTTCTCATGATAGCGGCTCTGGGCGAAGCCTTGCGCGAGCAACTCCTTAACCCTACCGCCGGCGTACAGTTCAGAAAGACAACCGTGGGACTCGATCACCAGTCCAGCACGGAACGCGCACAACCCTAGCTGGGCCATCGCCCTGTTGAAGAGGATTTGCGTGGGGATGTCCATGTTTTGGATGTTATCCTGAAGGTGACTCATCAAGAGCAAATCTCTGGCGATGTGAAATTCCTCATGAATAGAGTGGTGGTAGATATCACAAAGCATAGCCCTCGCTTTCGTCCTCTCGTCGCCGTGGTTATAGATGACGGCCGCGAGGGAGTTCATGAGAGAGCGGCTGCTGGAGGGGAAAGTCGCGTACCTGGCGACTAGAGGCGGCGTGTCCACGAAAGCCGGAGGTTCGCGTCTGAGTTTGGCCGCACGCTCCCTCCTCTCCTCCTCCGTGAGCGCGCCATCGTCGTCTGCCTCTCCCGCTGCCTCGGCCGCCGCCGCCGCCGCCGCCTTCGCCTCCTCCTCCGCCTGTGCCAACTGGTCCGATAACGTTCGCATTGCCTGGTACACTTCCTGGGGCTTGTAGTAAACGTGTTCGACCCTGCGCAGAGCGACGCGCGACGCCGCCCTCATGTCGTCCACTCTCTCCGCGTACTCCTGCACGCCCTGCGCCAGCGCCATGAACATCGGCTCGTCGCGCAACCTCTCCACGTACTCCTTCGTATGAGGATCAATGCATTGCAAGCTCTTGAAGAGCTCATCGTCCGTCCTCTCGAGGAAAGCCACGACGTTCCCCCACACGCGGATCTCCCCTTCCGTCTCCGCCGTCCCCCGCCCTCCATCGTCCGGCTCCAGCTCCGGCTCCGCCGCTTCATCGAGAATCAGGTTAGGCCAACCCTTCAGAATGTCCAGCAGCACCAGCTGGTTCGCCACGCATTTCTTCCACACCGCCACCGGCATGTGAGTGTTCAAGCTGGGATTGACGTCGAACTGCGCAGACACCAGGTGCACCATCACCTCTAGCTTCTGCGCTGGCGTCTTAGCCACGCGCGTTAGGTATGTCAGTTGCTCCACCTGCTCCGACCTGTCAGTGCCTTTCCGACCCCTAGCGCCAATAACCTCCTTGAGTTTCTTGTCCACCATCTCCCATGTAATCTCGCTAGGGTCTTTGTTGAATTCCCACTTCTTCCTATTGATTTCCCACTCTCCCTCAGAGTCAATCTCCTGCGGCTCCTCGCTGCCGTTCGGCACTATCGAGGGTGCACCATCGCTGAACGAACCACCATCCGACTCCTCGTCTGTTGGAACGTCCGGTTTCTCCTCCTCAGACTCAGGATTCGCTCTCACTTTCTCGATCTCCACCTCGTACAGCTTGTTGTTCTTCTTCAGCTTCTGTTTCATGTAGTTCAATGCCTTGGCATTACTGGCGCTCATCTTCTTCTTGGCCTCCTTGTTCGCAAGAGTCAGCGCCAAGAAGTCCTCCAGCATAATCAACGCCTTGATGTACAACCGAGGCACGGCTTCCGATTCCGTCACTCGGATCACCTTATCCAGTTGCTTGTTGATTTTCTCGAAGCTGTTCAGGAGAGACACCCAATCGTTGATCTTCATCTGGTTCTTCATCTGCTCCACAGTCTGTAGCATCTCTTCGAACCGCTTTTCCTTGGCGCTGAGAACAGGCCCCTTCTGTACGTCATCATCCGATTCATCGTCGCTCGCCTGGCCGCCGGCGCTGATCAAGTAGTTGCCCCCGCTAGTTCTGTCTACTAGCTTCGGCGTCCCCGGCTCCTCCTCCGACGAGATCTCATCCTCGTCATTCTCGCTGTCACTCGCTCCCCAGAATCGCGACTCCATGGCTGCTTACCTTTTCCCTCAGACACCCGCCGTACTTCAACGGAATACCCAACTCAACTCCTCTCTCTCTCCTTCTCCTTTCCCTTTCTTTCCTTCTTTTTCCAATCGCCACGTGCCTTGACACTCAACTCCTTTCCCTCCTTCTCCTTCTCCTTCTCCTTCCCCTTTTCTTTCTCCTTTTCCGAAACACCCCGTGCCTTCGCTCACCGCCCCCTTCAGCACACAACTATCGCCGCAACACAGAGCTCTGCAGATGGTCGCGATCTCAAGCGTTGCGCTGCCCTCTGTTTCGCAGCCGACGCGTCCCCAATTCTTCGAGTCCAAGGGGTGAGAAGAAAGAGAAAGACAGACAGAAAAAGGGATTAAGCGGGTAAGCACTTCGGCGATGGCGTCGTCGTCGGCGTACGGCGAGAGAGGGATGGGAAAGAAAGGTGGCGGGAACGCGACGCCGTCGCGGGTCCCGAACAACCGGACCTCGCGAAGTGCTGGCGCGCGAGAGAGAGCAGTCTAAAGCGGACGGCCGGCCATATGCTCAACCCACCCTAGCCTGGCTGCTAATACCCGACCCAAGACATCTACTAGTACGGTAGGTAACCAATGCCCGCGACCGCTCAACCCACAAGCTGCGGGCGCGGAGCTTACCCAACCGGCAAGCCGAGCCGGGACCACCCGGCGGTAGCGTGAGCCGAGCTGAATCCCGTCCTTGACGTCTTCTGCTTCTTTTTTGTTGTGTGTTTCCTTCAGCGCCAGGCCGGCAGGGCGAGGGCAAGTTTTTCCTCGTCTACGTCGGGTTGGAATGTCCGGAGGGTTTATTCCTTCCCTCCCTTGCTTGCGGAAAGCGGACTACACCGTCTTTCGGGACATCCGTTGGAATTGGCAGGGACGATTGGCGAGGCCCACTGCGCAAAAGCGAAAAGGGCTGGCGAGGCCTAGGAAAGCGGACGGAACCCCCGCCTCAAGATGGAGATGGAGCAGGCGACCCCTGTGCACGTCAAAATGACCTACCGCCCGAAGCGATAATGTCGACCGACCTGAGGGCCGAGCCCCACTGTGAATGTGGCGAATGGTGGGTGCCACATATATGTCTTTTCACATTTGGCTTTCTGAATTATTGTGTTCTACCGGAAACATGAGGAACGGAAACATGAGGAAGTAGGGTAATGGCCCTGTTTTAGCAACTGTTAGACCACGCTACGCGTGGTGGCGCAGCCACGGTCGGTCTTTCCGTAATTCATGTTCAGCTCGGGTTTTGCGCACAGTTCATTTGTCCTGATGTCGAGCCCAAGAAAGGTCGTGCCCGGCACCCCCCCATGCAATAGGAGGGAGGCTATGCTAAGCATGGTCGCGTTTTGTGCTCGGGTCCAGTGTTCAGCTGTGTGACATTGCTAAGTCGTGTTCAAGTGTGGGGGACAGGGGGCTCTGCCCCCCCTCTCCCACCCCCCACCCCCTTCCCATGCAATAAGCGTCCTCTCCGATTCAAATGCCATTTTTTTCCCGATTTCATGACCGGCATTCGGCTGCATTGGCGCAGGTCTGTGTCACTTGATGGGTGAACCCATTAAACCACCAGTACTTGGCCCAGCTATTGAAGCCGAGCCTGAATTACCCCTGCGCGCCGATTTTCGACGAGCCTTATTCGTTTCGTGGAAAAAGTCGGTACCGGTACCCCGTTTCGGTCCCCGTTTCAAAACTGCAGCCTGAACGCAAGTTTTTTTAATACAGACATCTTCTAGTCCTTTCGCCCACTTCCTGCACAACGTTTCTTTTTTTTTTTTTTTTTTTTTTTTTTTTTTTTTTTTTTTTTTTTTTTTTTTTTACTTCCAACCAACCACGACGTCACCTGCTCACTCGCACATTTTCAGCCACACTGACCACAGAAGGCACCAGACTCCATCTCCCATACACACAAGACACTGAAGCAGGTGCACGAGCACATGGCAAAAACTGGGCTTTTTCAACAGGGACAAAGACTGAGAATCACGTAGACTCCTGACCACAGAATGCACCAGACTCCATCTCCCATACACAAAACACTGAAGCAGGTGAACGAACACACGGCAAAAATGGACTCATTCAACAGAGACAAAGACTGAGAATCATGTCGACTCCTAGGGGACATATTCAGCAACACCACGTACCACAGAATGCACCAGACCCTCTCTCTCATCATACATCATAGGACATATTCAGCAACACTTACCACAGAATGCACCAGCAGAATGCACCAGACCGTCTCTCTCATCATACACAAGACACTCAAGCATGTGCACAAGCACACAACCAAAATGAGTTTGTCAAACAGAGACAAAGACCGAGTCACGTAGACACTCGTACGTACACGAGCACACGACCAAGTTCAAGGCTCGCTTAGAGACGACGACTCAGTCACATCGTAAGCTGCACAGCGTTTCCGTACAGAGTAGGGTTAGTTTTTTTTGTTTTTTTTTTCGTTTGGTGTTTCCGGTGTCTGTACAGTCGCCGCTCGTCTGCCGTGCTGCGTGGCCAACGGACTGGTCCGTTCGTTCCCGCCACCACCTTCTTCGTGTCCTCCCTAGCCGTCGTCGCGTGTACACCGTCGCCTGAATTTCCCAAACCCCACGTGGCTATCGTCGATGTCACAATTGCCACTACATTCATGAAGATGGCAATGTATCTTACCCTCTTGTACGGGTGCATTCACCGCGATTTGTCTTTTAGAAAATAGTGAGCCTATGCCCTATCTCCCATACGATTTTTGTCTATCCGAAGAGATAGACACACTGTGTGTGTGTGTGTGTGTGTGTGTGTGTGTGTGTGTGTGTGTGTG